AATGTTTGGGGAATGTAACATGTATTCATATATTACTGTGGATATATCCGTTTGGCTGTAATTCGCGTTCAAAGTTTAAAAATTGCTCGAAAAAGCAGTGTTTTCACATTTCATTGATTATCTTGAAAACTATAATACATAGAAAGAATCCAAAAGATGGATATTAAAGCTGAATGTTTGGGGAATCTAGCAAGTATTCATATATTACTGTGGATTTATCCGTTTGGCTGCAATTCGCGTTCAAAGTTTAAAAATTGCTCGAAAAAGAGTGTTTTCACATTTCATTGATTTTCTCGAAAACTGTAATACATAGAATGAATCCAAACGATGCATTTTATAGCTGAATGTTTGGGGAATCCAGCAAGTATAGATACATTCATGTGCTCTTATCCATATTGCTGTAATCGAAGCATCATTATGTACTTTCAAAGATATATGTAAAAAAATTATAATTTAAATTAATTAAAGGGTGAAATTGTGTGAAATGAAATATGAGCATGATCATATTAAGTTGTTACGTTTTTGTTGCGAACCGCAAATCGGTAGCCTCTTAAGAATTGCATGTTTTTATTTATAATTTCGTCCGGAATTGATCTGTGATTGATCGTCTGAACGGTCCAAATCTTACTGGAATGAAAGGTTTCCGCGTTCCTAAAGAACCCGTTCTATAATTATCGTTGTTGGTCCGTGGTCCATGCGATCTCAAACTTTGGCTTCAAACGGTATTCACTATCAGTCAACGAACACTTTTCCACTGATAGCGGAAAACACAAAAACAACAAAAAAAAATCCTAGATTGTTTTGCGTGCAAAGTGCATCGTTCTTGTTTGTTGTTGCTCTCGGAAAGGGAATTCTTTTTTTTGCTCGCAGATAACCGATGCGACTTTTTTGTCTGATCCTTATTACCCTTTCACGTGCCTTTGATTTATTACTTATGCTCTTTAATCGTTCCTGTTTACAGCAATTTATTTATATAATTGATTGAATTCGATTTTTTTTTTTCCTCGTAGACGAGTACACCAGAATCACAACACCTAGACAGGACGTGCTATTCAAGAAGGGTTACCTGAGCAAGCCGAAAATTTACCAGACGCAAACTTCGACAGGAAACTCAACCGTATCCACGGGAAACTCAACAGGAAATGGCACACCAGACCACCAATCTGCAGGTAAAATCCAAAGTTTGGTACAGTAAATCAACGCTTCTGTATTGATTATCTTTTATGGGGTTTTAAAGTCCTCGGTTTCAAACAGTGCGGAATATTCGGTAATCACCTGCATTATGTGAGATATTGTTGAATATTGAAATATTGAATTGAATTCATGATAAAAAATGTATAAATAATATTCTCATCTTGAAACGAAATATCAAAGACTTGTAGTATGTCAAATCAACTTTGTTCAATGGAGCCAATGCATTTGTTTGTAAATATTTCATTGCTCAATGATTAATGTATATATTTGTTTTTTTTTTGATCATCTGTAGATGGAACAGAAGGTACGGACCTGGAATACGAGGCTCAACAATTTGTGTTTCCAAACGGATTCGTCGACCAAAACGGCATATACTACATCAATAGTAAGTATCATCATATCGAGCGAAATAATCCGCTTTGTCAATGTCAATGGTTGTGTAACCAGGAAATGTACTGAGTTATTATTAAATGCGTCTTTAATTCGTAGTAATCACGAGGAATTAATGTTTCCAAACAATTTTTGTCAATTGGTTTGATTCAATATGCGGGACACGCATATAGGGTTAAAGAGATAGAGACAGGTCAATAAAAGTTCGAAGCCCTTTCGACCCAATTCCGAATGCATCAATGTATTTATTTGAATACGTTTCGTTGCAGGTTACGATCCGTACACCCCATTCATGGTATACAACGCTCCGTTCTGCTACCCGGACCATCATCCGACCTCCAGATCGAAACGGTACAGCACGGATTCGCTGGTAAGTCTGTAGGAATTTCTAAAATTGATGCCCAAGGATCTCCCCTGCTCTCTAAATTTAGTCGGGCCTTATGTAAGCCGCCGGTCAGTTCAACTCCATTATACTGTATCACTCGGTCACATTAACCCAGTTATTATTGGAAGTCTTCGTGAATCCATTACGTGCGAAAAACATCTTTACATATGCTTTACCATTGGATGTGCTTCCTTGCAGACGGAATCGACGAGTCCGCATAACGAGGAGACGAGTCAGGATTTGAGTCAGAGCGGCGGTGAAACGGCGAACAATGTCGACTTCAATCCGGCCTTCACTGCGGCATATCCAGGCCTGTACTGCAACGGCGGAGGAGGGCTTCCTGGATCCACAGGTAATTAATGCGTGACACGAAAAGCAACAATGTCGCAAATAGAACCGGTCATAAAGAGTAATGACATTTCACGTATGTCTGACTTGAGGCGGTGCCAACAATTGGTAAAATTAAACCGTGCGTCGAAAATCAATTTGCTTCGAATTCTTTAGACCCCAATCTAACTGTCGTTTTTGGGAATGTATAACTGGTTAATAGTATTACAGACACACTTTTAGATGTCCTCAGGTCCTATATTTGTATATTTTTATTGTAGAAGCTGATGATGCGACAACGGAACCACGAAAAATCAAGAAAAAGAGGCGCAGGAAGCTATCGAAGCCCATTCCAGATGGAGGCACATCTTCCGATGAATACTCAGAATCCGAGGAGCCAGTCAGCGAAATCGAGAACAGGATCATTCAGGGAACGCACAGGACAAGCACTTCGACCGAGGCTGAAGCCGACGTGACTGCATCCATAGATGAAAAACCGGTGGATGTCAGCAAAACGTCCCTGAAACCAGACGCGAAAGAGTTCGTCCCAATGGCGTACAGAGTCGAACAAACTCCCTTCCCATTCATTCCCCCGAATTTTTTCTTCATAAATGAATTACCTCCAGGCTTCAACCCGACTTGTCTGCCACCGGGTATCCCCATAAATTTCGTCCATCCCGATCACAAAAGCAATTACGTTAATGCTATTCCTAACCATCCGCATCATCACCAACATCTCCAACAGCACTCGCCAGTCCTTAAACAACTCGAATCTACCGCGGAGGAATCGAAAGATCTTGCGCAAGAAGAAATCTTACCCGAAGTGGAGAAGAAACCTGAAGAGGAACCGAAACCCGTGACGTTCCCTAAGAGGGACATCGACATCGAAGTGATCGTTTCGAAGCTGGAGGAAGCCGCCAAAGAGCAGAGGCGAAAGCTGTCCCCCAAATTCAAGCCGAAGCCCAAACGAACCTATGTAAAAAAACCCGTCGAAGAACTTCCAAGAGACGATGAAGCTACAACCAAAATGCAGTACAGTGATGTATCAGCGAAAAAATCGAGTGCTCCGTTGAAGGATGTAAAACCGAATGTCAATGTTACAATTAAGAGTGCTGTGCAGCAGTCGCCGAAAAGAAATCCGTTACCCGAATCCCCTAAATCAAAACCCAATCCGAATCAATGGATCTCCGTTTCTAACAAGAAGAAACGGAAAAATAAAGCGCAAGAAGTTGACAATTTTAGCGGCCAAGAGGAAGAGGAGGTCGCACCCGTCGCCGAAGACGGATTCGAATCGTACGATGTGACTAAATTAGTGGATGTTGTGCCTGCAAAACCCGACAATATAATCCAAGTACCTGAAAAAGTTGACGTTAAACCCATTCCCTTGGTTCCCCGAGAAATTGTTATCCAGGATGTTCAGGTTATCGAGAAAGCGATGATCGAGCAATGCCAGAAGAAACCCAGCGAGAATCAAGAGATAGACATGCTCATCGAATCTCTAGCCGAAATAGAATCGAAGATCAAACCGAAAGCACTGGTTGTAAAACAAAAGAAGAAGGTTATCGTCACAGACGTGGATCTGTCTGAATCGGTGGAGGAGCCCAAGAAGGTGCCCAAAATTGCGAAGAAGGTTGTGGTGAAGAAGGAAATCGAGGAGAAGCCGATAGCAGAATCACCTGAAAAAAAGAAAGTCAACAAGAAAAAGAAGAAATCTTCTAGAGATTCTCAAATCGTACAGAATCTGGATGACTATGATTTCTTGATCAAGGATTCTTTGTTGGTCGAGGAGAAGACGAACGTGGAAGTTTCCGAGGAGCTGGACAAGATAATCCAGCGCGGTATGTACAGCAGTCTGGAGGAGAAAATCCGGTCACTGAACATAAAGGCAAGCAACGATGGTTTCTTTAAGACCATGTCACTGTTGGGTCCCGAAAGAAAAAAGAGCAATGATTTGACTGAAGCTTTGATGAAGACGACCAGCTTCAAACCGGCCGTGGCCTCGACTCGTGACGCAGTAAAGGTAACAAGCACTGAATTAACAACGCCTCCTCCTTCTCCTTCTTCATCAACCACAACTGGTTCTTTTTTAGACCTCGCTCGGGATTCAAGCGTGGTAGCAGCAGCAGCAGCAGCAGACGACGACAAGGAAGAGAAAGACGAAACGCATCCCATCACTCAGGCTGTCAAGGACTGGATGACCAGGACGCGCGAAACAACCCCCGACGTGGAGATCTTCAAGAGCCCCAGAGAAATCCTACAGAACTTTGCAAGCGACGAGGTCACCCTGTGGACCTTCTCGCCCCAAAGTAGCATCGACGATGACCTTCTCGACTGTTGGGAGGACGATGTCACGGTCATTGAGAATAATAAAAAAAATCCCAATACAGACGACTGCCCAAGAGGCCTAAGGAACACTGCAAACCGACAACCGTGAAATGCGAAGAGATCCAGTGGGGAATAATGTGGATATGGAAAAGAAGCGTCAATCTTCCTTTCAAATCAATTTGTTGCAGCCTGATGTGAAACACCAATTGAAAAAGAAAAGAAAAAAAAACTATTCAAGCGCGCCTAATTTGTGTTCAATTCAAAGAGATTCGTTTATTCGTTTAGTTTTATCACATGTCAAGAAATTCCCTTGCACTTAAAACCTAAGAACGAATAATAAAAAAAAATGGAGAAGGAAATGGTAACCACACACACACACACACCGGACGTCCAATAAAAATGTTAATGTAATAAACTAAACGGGTCTAAAAGCGAGTTGTTGACACTTATAAAAAAAAATATTGTTAATTGTTAAATTTTCTTAAAGTAAGTGGTATTTTTGCAAATAAGAGTATAAAACAGTAAAGACTGATCGATGTGAACAACAAAGACGCACCGGAAACAATGGTATTCCCAGCCGGCAGCAAAGAAACGCTTTTATTTTTTATTTTATCTTATTATCAATTGTTAATTAGTGATTAGGGCAACTTTACATTTAGCTAATGATTAACAAAAAAAATAAGATTAATAACTACTATTACTAGGATTTCGTTTCGTTAGGCCACACACACACACACAGAAAAGTGAAAATATGCAAAAAAAAAAATAAATAAAATGATTATGATAATAATATTAGTTATGGAAAAGAGATCGATGTGAGTGATTTTATTAATTTGTAAAATTTCGTAGTAGTGCAATTTGTTCAGTTTTTAAGTAGATGTTATGAAAATTGTAATTGATTCGCGTGACAAGTTGAGAGCTACTAACTAGATGCAATAACTTAAATTGAAGAAAGGAGCAAAAATAATTATTATCAAAAGACAACCTTCTTCATACATTTAACCAACTTTATACATTTTTTTTTTTGTTGTTGTTGTTGTCTTCATAAATAATTTCATTTCGTTTCGTATGTTTTTGTTGTTTAGTTTTTAAGTTCGCGTGTAAGGACTTCATGTGTTTGTTAATTTCTAAGAAACAAAAACAAAAACAAAAAAGTCATCGGAGTATGTTTCTAAATGTAAATATATTCGAAACTTAATTAATTTTCTTGTTAAAATGTTTGTTAATTTTGAGATTTGTGCCTTTGCGATTTGTAAAATAAAATGTGAAAATTGATAAAAAAAAAGCATTCAATTTATTTCTATTATCAAGTAGTTTAATATATATATATGCTATAAAGAATTGAGAGTGATAAGAAAATTAACCGAAAATCCATTATAGAAAATATATACAGTGGAACTTCGCTTAACGAACAAAATGAATTGTAAGAATTGTAACGATTTACACTTGGTTCTCTTTTTATGCGGTAGATACGTTCGACAGGAAAACGCATAAAAATAAATCGCACAAAAAAGGACTAGACACACGTATCAGAATAAAGGATACGTTCCATAATTTATTTAAAACCGCATAAAACTAAATCAATGAGTTAGAATATACCGAAAATCGCATAAAAAAGAGTTTATTAAATTTCAGAAAAATAATTAGTCTTACTATCTTATTTTTTTCTGAAATGTTAATTCATAATTTTATAAAAACGTTAACAATCATAGACATGTTTATTAAATTTCAGAAAAATATAATCTTAACATATTCCTTCTAAATTTATACGGAAAAATTTTACAAAAAAAAAAATACAGAAAATTGTTATGAAAGTTAATCTTTCTTCACATTTTTTTTCTTTAGAATTATATGAGTTTTATGAGAGTGTTCGGCATAATTTGCGTACTGGTTCGAAATCACTTTCATCACTAGAAGAGATAGTCAGCATATCAGATCTATGTCCTGAAGATAATGATTCTTCACAAGTAAAATTAGTCTCAACTTCACATGTTGATGTTTTCCCTTTTGACAATATAATCAGTGATTAAACTTTGCTTTGGCTTTGCAATTCTGAAGCTCGCGTTGAAACTTGAATGCTCGTTCAGAATTATCATCTTTTTCGATGAAATGGTTTGCCAATTTTTCTCAAAACGTGTCAAAATGGCCTAAAATAGTTATTTAAAAAAATGCTTCTTGAAATAAAAACCGCATAAAAAGAGGACCTAGTGTACATATTATTTTTAATATTTCAGTATACGAGTGAAAATTCGTTAAGCGAGGTTTCACTGTATATAGTGGTAATAAGCTTTCCACTGAGACAGCGTTTCTACATGCGTCTTATCGAAGCCATACTTCAGTAAATTCCAAGTCATATAACTTTAGAAATTTCTTACAGAGATGTAAATTTGGTTGCGTATAAAATAAAAATGTCAATATATCAAAAAAGGAAATAGAGTGAATCACTTGTCTGCACTCACTTGTCAAACAAAATTGTCCATAAGAGTTGACACTTTTGTTATGATCAAAAGACTGTTGAAAACATGAGGTTTTACGTGAATTTTATACTGTTAGTAGCTCTAATTGTAAATTCCCAAAGTAAGTAACTGAATTTATTCACTGAAAACTTGTTGTTTTTATATGGTGTATTGCAGGCAATGCTCAACGTACCAAAGACAAAATGTACCAGCCATTGAATGGAATTGCGTCCTGCTTTCGGAGAATGAATGGTACACATCAAACAGGTTGTTCATGTAAGTTGCATCAGACTTGTAAATATTTAAACAATTGATTCCCAATATTTTTTTGCAGCTGCAAAGGAGGGTACAACCGGTGTAGTGCATTACGTAAAGAAATCCAGTGAACTGGACTTGATCCTTTCACTAGACAATAATTTGCAATATATCCCTGCCATTCCAGTCAATGAATTCACCAAAGAAGTTGTTCAAAAATTGCTAACATCAAGCAAAATATCCGGCCTAGTTGTGTATGAAACAAATGAAACCACAATCAAGCATTTCAGCCATGAAGACTCATGTCCGAATCGTTACTCAAATCTCGATGGCACATGCACGAAATCATGGAACGAGTATGGCACTGGCCTCCTGCTAGAAGATCTATCAATTCCGATCTTTTATTTGAACCTATCCGAGGATGTGAAAATGATCAAAGACTGCTTCATTAAATTCAACAATTTTTCATATGAAACACATCAGGACAGATCTCTATGTGCCTTGGAACTTTCAAGTTTTATGTTTGCCGCCATAAATACGCCCACTTGCATAAGGTAACCAATCATTTGCGTTTAGTTTTGTGTGTAACTAAATTTCGAAAATTTTTTAGGCGTGGTTCAAATGCGAATTTTAACTTTAACACGGTGAAATTCTGCGATGCTCTTGGTGATCAGAACGTTTGGGCGACATTATTTCCAATTGCACAAACAAATTCGTTGAAGTACGTTGTGGTATCAGCAAGAATGGATAGTTCGTCCATGTTCAGTGATTTGGTTCCGGGTGCGGCTTCTCCAGTTTCTGGTTTGGTTACGCTTTTGTCGACAGCTCAGGTTTTGAAACGGATGGTGCCAAAATACGAAGATTATGGTAATTACAAATAGTTTATATTCTTTTTTAAACATAACACACTTAATTTTAGATTACAATGTGATTTTCGTACTTTTCAATGGTGAATCCTATGATTATATCGGATCTCAAAGAATTGTTTATGATATGTCTTTGGACCGATATCCCGTGCACGGTTTTACTACAAGCAACAACGAGACTGTTTCCAACATAAATCTTAAGGACATTGCTTTGTACATTGAAATTAGCCAAATTAGTCAAGTTGACCAAATGTATATACATTATAAGAAAGATAGTGAAGAGGTTAGTTAACAACGATCAATTAATAGAACCTCATTAAACAAACATACAATTTCAGATAACACGTATGTTCAATCTCTTGGATAAAAATAACGCCGATAGATTCAAGAAATCCAGTGGTAATATTCCTCCGGCATCGCTACAATCGTTCTTGAACGAAGATCCTGAAATACCTGGCATCGTCTTGGCGGATCATGGTGACACGTACAAATCCCAATATTACCACTCGATTTACGATAACGCAGCCAATCTGCAGTTCAATTACGTCAACACTTCGGAGAACAGCATCAAAGTCGTACCTGAGGACAGTATACAGGAGTACGTGGCTAAGATCTCGACCGGTTTGGCTAAAAGCATTTTCGAGTTCGTAACGAAAGAACAATACAACGGCTCAGAGAAAGCCGATGTTCTGTTGGTTAACGAACTGTTCCATTGCTATCTGGAGAACGCGAATTGCACCGTCCATCAGGCTGTCCAGAGAAGGCAGTTCCGGCAAGCACCGTTCAATTTGTACGTTAGCGTTGCGGTCGTTCCGAACATCGTGACCAGTTTGATTGGTTTGACTCTGGCATGGTTCACCGCCGACAAAGTTAAAACCGGCCCTTGCGATCCTGACCTCAACACAGATGTAATTCTTACCACAATCAACAGCTGTACAAAATATTAACTTAAAAATTCTCTTTCAGATTTACAGATACTTCAATATGTCGGAGAGCATAAGTAACTTGAATTCAACTCAATGCTTTAAAGCCAGTATGAACTTCACGGAAGCCAAGAGTCCAGCGTTTGATATCGAAGGTATTGTTAAAAGTTCATTCAAATTCATTAGTAAATTGAATTTTTCTTTCAGACTATGCGTGGGATTCGGGCAAATACAGCACATGGTCCGAGAGCGTGTGGCACGATTTCAGTATGAGGATGTTCTTGAAACCCTCGAAATCTCATGAGATTATGACTATTTCTATTGGAACAACGGTGTTTGTTGCAGCCATTGCTATTATACTGTTTATCAAGAGGAAGTCTGAGGTGTTATTCGAATCTGGCGATACGTAAGTTCTAACAATATATAATAAATATTTCTCTTAATTATTTTCATTATTTTTTTTTAGCACGCCAACCAATTGCTAATCCATACAGGGAACTACTTAAAGACTTATTTGTTAGGATTAATTTGAAATATTTTATAATTGCAATATGTTAAAACCATCCAGGCTCATTCTACATGCAAATTCGATAACATTCTTCACTTTTACTTTTTCTCCTACCATTTTAATTAATTATTAATATTTATTAATTATAATCTTTTATTTAATATATATTTTTTTTAAAATTATCTTGACATTTGTTTCAGTGATTTTATTACCTTATTCAACATATATAACAAATCAAAATTTATTAATATTACTAATACAACTTTTCTGTTTAATAATGAATAATTAAAATACATTAAAAAATGCAAAATAAAATTAATAGAAAAAGACTAGAAGAATTTGCAATCAGTAGTTATAATTCCCACATTGCATAAACTGCTAATAAACGTGAAGTTGTTGCTGTTCAAAGGGATCAAAACACCCTCAAACTATTAAAGTGTAGTTTTATGTTTTATTTGATCAATTAACAATCAACATGTGGTGTGTGTTATCGAAGTTGAGCAAAAGAAACTCGCTCTTTCAACAATACAAGCTTTACAAGAAATGTGAACATAACCTAAGAAATTCATTGGTGAGATCAATTTGCAGATCGTCAACACAGAATGCGAAACTTTTCCTTGACCGAGAAAATATGCACGCTTACAAAGTTATTGAACATAAATCAGCTTATGGACAGGTAAAAGAGGAAAATATACATTTTTCAAATTAGTTAATGTAGACAACCAAATTAACACATTTTCACTTTAGGTGAATCTTCAGGATTTGTTTTTGCGGACGGGCACTACCGAAATCAATTCCGAACTCGAGATGAATGTTATGTTGTCGCAGGATTGGAGAATTCAGACCGCAACAGATATTGTTAGGGCATTCAGAATTGCGTTGCCTGTGTGCATAGAAAACAACATAAATCTCTCCGACACTCGCTTCAATAATTTAACGGATGGTTTATTGGATAACGTGGAAAAAATAACTGATGAGGAGTTGATAGAGATGCTTGATTTATTAGCATTGTATCCAGAAACGGAATCCTTCAAATCTCACAATTATCATGATATTTGGAGTGCTTTAGACGATGTATGCTGTTGGAGACTGTCCTCTTGGGACAAAGAGAACGTTTTTCCAATAGCAGATCGATGGTACAAATTAAATTTAGGAAAACTCTGCGATTTCATCTACGAAGTCTTGGAGAAACTTTCAAGGAAACCAACAAAGTTGAGCAAGGATCAGCTTGTGCACTTATTCTTCTACATGAATATATGCAGGAAGCGAATAATTGATTTTGAATACGAAACGGCGTTGGATATGAAAATAGATAAAATGAGCCTGGACGAGATGGGAATCGCAGCTTTGGGTTACTTTAAGACGCAGAGTAAAGTGAAGATTGCGCGCATCCTTTCAGTCATGATGGAGAAGGCTATAGCTGAACCGAATCCCGACGATCTGACGCTGTGCGCTATTCTGAAAATAGTTCGTTTCACGTCGAATCCGTCGTTGGCCGATCAAATGACGGATTTCATCGAGAAAGTATCGCCCAAGTTGGAGAAATCTTCGAATCTTTGCCAATTGCACGGAGCGCTCTTCGGAACGACACTCCAAATAGAGCACAGACCGGCGATATTCTTCGCTGCTAACCGGATCGCAAAGAATCTGCAGCATTTGGAAAAAGTTCGACTGAAAGACATGGAACGAATTCTTTTACCTTTGTCCATGTTCGATTACAATCCAAACACGGAACCCGATATTTTCAAAGCCATCTTGGAGGAGTTGCAGCATGAACGAAGGTTTCCTGAATTAGATAAGTACCCAAGGTGTTTGTCCAGCGCCCTTCATTTTTTAAGCGTTAAGAATATTTATTCAGAGGAATTGTTAAATAAGGTGTTGAACATGAAATTCGTAACAGAGACTTATGGTAATCCTATAATTTAATATGAATGTAATGTTAATTTGTTCAAATTATAGGTAGATCTAGTCGTTTATTACCGATGGAGATATTCTCGCTCGACATATCAACGGAAATCGATTTACCAGATTACAACGGATATCGTATGGATCCGAGTATGCGGTATAAAGCTTCCAAATGGTTAACGAGATACTCACCTTCTTATACACAAACGAAAAGGATTTCCGCCTCGGAAAAGGTCATATTGGATGTTACTGATCGCATCATGGAAATCGTCGGCGCTCAGAACATACTCATCGATCATGTGTTACCGCATTTCCCGAGAGCAGACATTATTTGTTGCAGAGACAAGAAGACTGGTAAATTTGTGGAACCTTTCGGTTTGCAGAAATATCAGTTTGGCGATATCAAGAAACCCACAGATGGCGAAAGTTACGAATGGTTTGCTGTAGTGGTTGCAGGATGGAACAACACAATTAGGGATACCAATAAACTGGTCGGACAAACGACGATGAAACTTAGGCATTTAGAACGAATCGGTTACAAGGCAGTTCCAGTAAATATTACGAATATAGAAAAAGTTAAGCAGAGACATTGACTTCCTTAAAATTTCAGGTGATATGGAACGAATACCAACCACTTACGTTGGAAAATAAATTGAAACACATCGAGAATAAGCTTCGGTAATAATAATTAATTTATTCGTTTTATAAATAGCATTTTCGTTTGTTTTTTCTTTTTTATCTCGGACCTTGATCGCAAGGACTTGGCTTCTTGCAAGGTTCCTCCAGATCGCAAGGATCCCTTTTCTTCTTCCTTACACCCGTACAAGGCTTTTGCTTCACACATTTCTGAGATTTCTTCCCGTCATCGTATCCCTTTTTGCCCTTGTAACAGCACCAGTTCTGCGTGGAAGTGTTCAGCAGACGCCTCGATATTAAAAACGATACTAATGATTTTGTGGACATTTCTTTTTGCGAAATTCGATTTGTACGAAATGAATGATTGATCAAAAAAAAAAAACAAATTTAATCTGACTACTTGGATCTAATACTCGTTTCATATAAGATACGTAGGATTTTATTTAAGTGAAATGGTTTTGTACAAGGCTTCAAGTACATTTCTTCTTTTTCTTATATTTTTTCGGCTTCTTCTTCAAAAGCGGTATCCTGTTGTCCGGTTGCTGAAGTCTATCCTTGCTTAGGTAGACCATTATATCGTTATAGGCGTACTTCGTGTACATGAAGTAAACAGAATTTGAATCGCCGTAGTGAGATGTGATTTCGCTTTCGTTTTCCTTGTTGAGCGCGTTTACCTCTTGAAATATGTCCTTCAAATTATAAACGGGAGGCACGTATTCCGGCTTTTCCTCGTCCTCTTCATTTTGGCAACAACTCCTTTTCTCATCTTCCTTCTCCTTTATCATATCCGTAATACATCTGTCGCATTCTCCTATTTTCTTACAATAAAATCTAAAAGATGTGTAACATATATTCTTGAAAATTCCCATCCCGACGCTTCCAAAATACGTGACAAGTACGGCCTCCTATTATTTCTCGCCGCACGAGTTACGTCCATCATTTGTCGGCGGAATACCAAACTTTTTCTTGGCCGCCAAATCTTTGCACGCGGCCTTGCAGAAATCTTTACACTCCTCTTTTTTGCACGGATCCTTTTTACACTTCTGCGGACATTTCTCCTCCTCCTCTTTGCACTTACTCTTCTTCTTCCTCTTGCAGGGATCTTTCTTTTTACAGACATTCTTGTCTTTGCAAGGATCACGATCCTTGCATGGATCATTTCCGCACGGATCCTTCTTACGTTTGCAAATGTCCTCCGCGCACGGATCCTTCTCTTTTTTCTTGCACGGGTCCTCTTCTTTGCATGGATCTTGATTCTTGCACATTTCTGCGCATGGATCGTTCTTCTTGTTTTTCCCCTTGCAAGGATCTTCGGCAATCTTACAAGGATCATCGCAACATTTTTTACATGCCAAAGGTGAACTCGTCTCAAAATCCCTGCAAAAGCTTTGAGCGAACCATTTCACATTTTTTAGAATAGCCAAACGCATCATTTTTTTCATTAATTTATTTTATGACGAAAAATTTTGACTATGATTTGAAAGAAAAACAAATAACATTAATTTTCTGACGCTGACTTGATTGTAGTGAGACGTCAAACCTTTCTAGCAATCTTTCTTGCATGGATCTTTTTTCTTACAAGGATCCGCGCAAGGATCTTTCTTCTTGCACGGATCATCGCAAGGATCTTTTTTCTTGCACGGATCCGCGCAAGGATCTTTTTTCTTGCACGGATCCGCGCAAGGATCTTTCTTCTTGCAGGGATCAGCGCATGGATCTTTCTTCTTGCAAGGATCAGCGCATGGGTCTTTCTTCTTGCAAGGATCCGCACATGGATCTTTCTTTTTGCAAGGATCAGCGCATGGATCTTTCTTTTTGCACGGATCTGCGCATGGATCTTTCTTTTTGCAAGGATCCTCGCATGGATCTTTCTTTTTGCACGGATCTGCGCATGGATCTTTCTTTTTACACGGATCTTCTTTCTTCTTACAAGGATCCGCGCAAGGATCTTTCTTTTTACACGGATCTTCTTTCTTCTTGCACGGATCAGCACATGGATCCTTTTTCTTTTTACACGGATCTTCTTTCTTCTTGCACGGATCCGCGCAAGGATCTTTTTTCTTCTTGCACGGATCTTCCTTTTTCTTACAAGGATCTTCTTTTCTCTTACACGGATCGTTCTTCTTTTTGCACGGATCGGCGGATGGATCCTGTTTTCCGCCTTTCTTGTTCGTTTCTTTCAGAGCAGTGCATGGATCACTCTTGCTCTTCCCTTTATCGTCCTTGGCCTTACCCGAAGCAGGTGGCGGTTTCTTGCTGAAGAAATCTCTCGGTTCCGAGAGGCTGATCTGTCGATGCACAGATTCTTGCAGGAATTTCGCCGATTTTAACAATGCCGAGCGAATCATTTTTTTCTAAAAAAAAATAACGTTCATTTACACGGGAAATTTTGATTGAAGCGTCGTGACTTTTCGAAAAAACTAAATTATTATTTATGTAGTAACCATGATTTATAAATATATCGATAATAATGACAAATGGGTTTTTGAAAACAGCGCGATTATAACATTAATTCTAATCATATATAAAAATATCGAATTACTATCAACAAACATTAATATATTATAAATATATATATATATGGATTCGTTTTCATGTTATCACAGTTGAACTTAAATCTAGTGCAAAAATAGTTGTTTTAAATATTTACAATTATAGTCGGTTAGTTGGAAGTTATACTTCCTCAAAATGTTACACATTTTAAATTTAGCATTCGCGATCTGGGTTTCCGTAATTAACAAGTTTGGCCAATTCAATAGCACTATACCCTAGTAACTGTTTCAAGTCGCAAACAAATTTATACACGAACCTTTTCCCGTGCACTTTTGATATCATATCACCATCATAATAATAGCGCAAAGCTCGCGACAACTTCTCGTAGTTCATCGTCGGCTTATTCTTCCGTTCACCCCACAATTGCGCAACAGTTTCAGGTTGATTTAATTTAAATTCACCATCCGAGCCCAACCAATGTATAACGTTTTTGTAGTCGCGACTCGTCAGCAACTCCAGCAGGAACTGCCACAGCTGAATCTGTCCATTGTTACCAGATTTGTTTCCCATCGCTGCACCTAGCGTGTCATAATACCTCGTCGGCGGTGAATAGTTCGTCATGATCCTGTTCACCTTGTTCTGTTTCATAAGCTTCGGCTGTTTCTTTTCCATTTTGTCCTCTTTGGTGATGGCAACGACTTTCATCTTCCGCAATAGCTCAAAATGCGTCCAAAACACATCGCCCGGATCGCTCGGTACGATTTTCTGGAAATCATGGATATCCAGTTTGAACAAATCACTGCCAGACATGGACCAATCCGACAACTTTAAATTCGGTAGATTGAACTGTCGCACCGCCCATTGAATCCAGTGTCTCACATGAACCACAGTCCTATTAACAAAATTGCTATTATTCCTTTAAAAATGTTAAACAAATTAATTACCAAAATTCTGGGTTTGAAGGAATTTTTAGCCTTTCCTGTTCATTCTTAAAACTATTATCCACTTGCCATTGATGAACTACTTTCTTATCTTTATTCTGCACCTTTTTAGGTTCTTCCTCAGCTTCTGGCAGTTCCATCCTCTCCTGCTCCTCTACAAAAATACTCATTGCAAAACTCCTCACCAACTAATTGCGCAATTAACCCACCTTTAGAGTCTATGTAATCATCCGCTGGTTTCAACACGTCTATAATATTTATCCTCTTCAATTCTTGCTCGATGCCCACGTTAATTTGAACTAAACCCTCTCCCTGGACGCATTGATCCACTAAATTCTTGTGACTCTCCAACTACAAGAATGAATGTAATCAATTATATACGCGCCTAGTTATGATCAAATTACCTTTTGCGTTCCTTGAAGGAAGAATTGGTAACCGAGAAGATTCAAATTCAATCGCTGTTCGAGCAAACGCCGGAGCTTGGACAGTGGCTCCCTGATATCCATATGCTGCATTATATAATTGTCCGATTGCGAATTCTCCATGTTCATCAAATCGGAGTCTAGCTCTTGCATTAGAGATTCTTCGAAATTCGGAACTTCGTCCAAACTGTTCATTATAGCTTAAAATGGAAAAAACGAACGTTTTATATTTGAAATCTAAAAATAGTGTATAGCAACAACAGAAAGCCTACCTCTTGACAATGTTTAAAAAAATCTAAAATTACGTAATTTTGTGTAAATTGTAATATAAAGTAGCTTTTCTTGCAGACTTTGTTTGGCTTACAATGTTTCCAATACAAATTGAATGCATTTGCAAATGGTTATGGGCTATATATAGGTCAAGGAAAACATCCAATTAGGATTAAAACTTGATCCAATAGGATCTGATCAAAGAGTGCTGGAACAAGTCCCTTGCAACAACAAACAAACAAACAAACAAACGTAGGCGCTGTCATAACAATTGGTTACCTAATTGAGTGGTGTCCTCCAGGTCACCAGATATACTATCCTGTAGTATATCATTGCTGTTGCTATCCTCCTGCATTTGCGTTTCCATTTTAATATTCGGAACTACTCCATCCATTGTATAATCGGCCAAATTGCCATCGTCGTCGAATATGAAACTAAACAATATTATTTATTATTCGTTTAGGTTATGTTTACATAAAAAGCAAAAATTGGAGGCATCACAAAGCTTACCTTCGCGTCGGGTCGGCCTGATTAATGTACACATTCTGTCCGTGTTCATTCACGCTCATCACAAACAGTGCCGTCTTCTTGTCCATTTAAATTTGTTTATTTTTATTACAATTGTTTTATTTATAACTGTCAACAATAATTTTTTATAATAATACCATCATCACTTGTTAAAAAAAAAACACGGTCGCGACCTCTTGTGGTCGTCAAATTGGTTAGAATCGTTAGCATTATTCCAAACAGCTGCAGTACTATTTTTTTAAATCTCTGTTTTAATGAATAATAAATATAATCCTTAAATAATAACTAATTAAATAAACGTTTATATAATCTATTGCTCTTTAGAAAGCTAATTTTAGGAATATTTCGTGTATAGTTTGTTGCCTACAAATTACATGAATGCTTTACAGAGCCGAACTCTCCTATTCTGCAATACACAAATCTTGTTGTCTTCATCATAATATCCAATACGAAGGTAACAGATTGAAAACAATCAAAAATTCTACAAGATCCAAAGACCTATGTTTGTTGTAACAAACATATTTATTATTATAGTTAAATCAATACAATAATACTATCGTAATATAACAAAAAAAATATGTAATAAATAAATATAAATCAGCAAGATTGGATAAAAAGTTGTTTATTTACACTTGAAACTGATTAGATAATACGTTATTTAATTTTGCGGATCGCTTACATTTCTAATCGTATGAAACTGCCAAGAAAATAATGTCTTATTACATAATTTTGTAGTTATATTTGCGACTTACAAATTAATACAACAATATAACTTAATCATTTGAGAATACAGATCCAGAATTTCCAAAGTATTTAAATTAAAATTCAGATTTTTGAATTGATCTAACGATCGATTTCTCCGAACACTACGTCCAGAGTACCGATGATGGCGACGATATCGGCCAACATGTGGTTTTTGCCGATCTTGTCGATGGCGGCTAAATGGGCGAAACCGGGAGCCTTGATTTTACACCTGTACGGCTTCGAACTACCATCGGACACTAAGTAAACTCCGAATTCACCTTTCGGCGCTTCGATGGCGGTATAAGTAGCGCCTGGAGGCACCTGGTATCCTTGGGTGAAAAGTTTGAAGTGATGGATCAAAGCCTCCATGGAGTTCTATAAATGTTTCATGAAATTGTGTAAAAATTGTTTTTTTTTTTTGGTATTTTACCTTCATTTCTGTACGGCTCGGTGGCATTAATTTAGCATCGTCCGTCTTAATCTCGCCAGCTGGCATCTGGTTCAAGCATTGATCGATAATCTTCAGAGATTGCCTCATTTCCTCCACACGGCACAAATACCTGAAGAAACGATCATCATTTAAATATTTATATTTGCGAATGAATTACTTATATATTTTACCTATCATAACAGTCTCCCTTGGTTCCAATTGGAACGTCGAAGTCGACCAAATGGTAAGCATCATAGGGTTGTTGTTTCCTCAAATCCCATTTGATGCCAGATCCTCTTAACATGACTCCACTGAAATTAGAAAAAATAAACATATTTCGATGTTGAACTGGACGGGATTACCTGAAGCCATAATTCAAAGCATCCTCGGCGGAAACACGGCCGATGTCCACGGTTCTCTGGACCCATATCCTGTTTTGAGTCAAAACATCCTCAACCTCGTCGATTCTTTCGTTGAATCTCGCCGAAAAGTCGTAAATATCGTCCAGCAATCCCAGTGGAAGATCCTAATTAATTAATATTAATTATTTTGCAAAAATGGATGTAGCAGATTAATTACCAATGCTACTCCACCAGGTCTAATGTACGCGGCGTGCATACGGGCACCGGAAACCCTTTCATAGAATTCCATCAACTTTTCTCTCTCCTCGAAAAGCCAGAAGAACGGAGTCAAAGCACCGATATCAAGGGCGTGAGTGCCGATGGCCATAATATGATTGAGGATTCTTGTAAGTTCAGCAAAAAGAGCTATAAATTAAAGTTGAAATAATATATATATTAATATCACTCGTTCTACTCACTTCTAATGTATTTAGCCCTTAACGGAATATCAATGTTAAGCAACTTTTCAACGGCTAAACTGTAGCATTGCTCATTGCACATCATGGACACGTAGTCCAACCTATCGAAGTAAGGCAACGCCTGAGTATACGTCTTGTATTCAATCAGCTTCTCGGTGCCTCTGTGCAAAAGACCAATGTGTGGATCGGAATTCTTCACAACCTCTCCTTCCAGATCCAGAACCAACCTGAGCACACCGTGAGCAGCCGGATGCTGAGGTCCGAAATTCAGGGTGACATTCTTCACGGATTTCTCCACGGGGGACATTTTACCACTCATCGGTGGAAGAACCCAGTTCTTTGTGACCTCATTGTTGAACATGACTGGGCCATCGAATTGGCTGAAGTACTCGGAATCTGGGTACCATTTGTGCGACTGGGTTGCACTGGGGAAACAGTTACAAAACATTACATCATAACCTCAATCGTTACATAACGTAATGATAATTAAGGGCAAAGGGCAAAGGGGGTTGAAATCATTGTGTAAATTACCTGGTGTGGAAGAGGGCCGGTGCATTCTTGAGGAAGTTAACAGCTGGGGCGGAAATCGCCTTCTTCAACACCGTATTTACCAAGGCGCTCGCCATCTCTCTTTCACATAACCACGAAAAACATATGACGTTAAGTCAGTACCCTTTTCTTTTGACAACCAATGGAAACAGGGTCGTAATCAGCATATTTAAATAATTTTTAAATAATTTGCTCTTTTATAAAGAATTTTTTTTGGTACATTTTAAAGAAATAGTTTTATTTAATAATAAATTTACTATGAATACATGAATCTACTATAAAACTAGTATGATTCTAAATAATTTAAATTAGGATATTTTAAGTATTAAACAATTGTAAAAAGTACATTAACAAAATCATAAGAAAACAAATCGCACTGCTAAATTATGTTTATAAATGATAATCTAATTTTAATTTTTCTGATTCAATTAATAAAACATTCATATCTCATATTTGATATTTAAATAATTTTTACATAATTTGGTCTTTTATGAAGAAATTTTTTGGTATTTATACATTTCAAAGAAATAGTTTTATTTAATAATAAATTTACTATGTAAAATGTCAACTATAAAACTAGTATGATTGTAAATAATTTAAATTAGTTTAAGTATTTAAGTATTGAACAATTGTAAAATGTACATTAACAAAATCATAAGAAAATAAATCGCACTGCTAAATTATGTTTATAAATGATAATCTAATTTTAATTTATCTGATTCAATTAATAAAACATTCATATCTCTCAATTTTATTGTATTTTGTAAATTATAATCTTAGTAATTTTAATATTTGTATCAAAAGCTTTAAAATGATCTAATTTCATATATTTTTAAGTTTATTTTGTAATGGTAAGTCATAAAAAGTTTTCAAAGATAAATCAAACAACGAAATAAACGTTTCCACCCTGTAAATATCTTCTATATATAAAAGCGTTGAGGGTAGTATCTGATTACAGCCCTGCTTGTTGGCAGTGCACCCTGCAGTCTCCTGCAACTATCGTCATATTGATTTATATAAATGTTCGGGCGGGTTCACAACGTGTCAAGGTCGAAATTCGTCCCTTGGTGTGGTCCACCACCGCCACAGCATCATCAACCCTCGTCCAAATTCAGTCGACACTTGTGAATTGGCTCGATTCAACTTCGAACTTAACTTAACGATTTCATTCGATTATTCAAAACGGAGAAACAAAAGAAAACTCCCCTGGTCTACGCGATTATGATTCCATCCGGGTCTCGACCTGGACCACCTGTTAAGAACAAACCAAGACCGCGGGCGAGTTGTTCACCCTGCTGCTGCCTGGAGAATGATTCGCGAGCGATGTGCGCGTTCGGCTTCTGCCTAGGAATAATCTTAGTTATATTTGTAAGTTGCGAAACATTCCCATAAAATATTTTTTAAACAAATTACCCAGAGAAAGAGAAAGAGAGATGGGCGTTTCCATTATAATTGCTAAACGAGTAAAGTGATTTGAAAAGAAAAAATTTAACCGAGAAATTAGCTAAAGTAGTTATTTTAGTAAAGCGTTATTCGTGAGTTCAAATGAATCAATGGGTGTGCCTTGACTGAAGCGCAAAATGAAGATCAACATTAAATTGAAATCGTGGTATAGAAAGCAAATGATACGCAGGACACGGTTGTATCGCTTCTTTCTGGAAAATAAATCACCTCGCTTCTATTGCGGTCTGCTCATTTCATTGTTAATTATAATAAAAGTAAGTTTATTATTATTATTATTAATAGAAGAACAAAATCAATATTAATTCAAATCAAACGAACGTTGCGCAAAATCGATTATGGCGAAGCTGCGCGGATTTGAATTTAAAGTTTATATTATATATTTATTACTTTTTTTCTTTTTTCGAATGCAGGTCGCTGCGATGGTTATAAATCCAGGTGTTTATAACAACAACGATCAAATCGATGTCGTCTATACTTGGGTGAACGGCTCCGATCCCAGATTCCTGGCGAATCTGAAGGTCATCAGCGCTTTCTTGGACAAGGGCTCTATCGATCTGTCGCCGCAACGATACGACGACAAATTGGAATTGAAATATTCGTTACGGTTAGTTTAACTTTTAATTTATTGAAATTATACAAAATAATTGTTGTTGATGCGATTGCAGCTCTTTGGAGGTGTACGCGCCTTGGATCAGGAAAGTGCACATAGTCACAAACGGTCAAATACCGAATTGGATAAGCTTATTCAATCCCAAACTGAACATTGTCCAGCACAAGGATATCTTCGAGAATCTAGAACATCTGCCAACATTCTCGAGTCCAGCAATCGAATTCCATCTGCACAAGATCCGCGATATCACAAAACGCTTCATCTATTTCAACGACGATACATTCTTGGGTAAACCTGTCTACTACGAGGACTTTCACACGGTTCAGAAAGGATACTCCATATACCTGAGTTGGCCTATACCGCCTTGCGCGGAGGACTGTCCATGGATGTACGTCAACGACGGACAATGCGACTCGCAATGTTACAATCCTTCCTGTCAGATGGATGGAAATGATTGTGTTAATGCGGAGAAGGACGAGCAAGGCAGACTGGTGCAAAGTAAATACGACAAGTACGATGTTATGGAAACTGCAGTCGATGGAACGACGGAGACGATTCCAAAGAACATCCTTACTTCGCTGAATTCCTCCACTCATGATATACCGAGACTTGTGAACAATTTGAATGTCGGCATAGTGAAGAGCAATAGGATTAAGAGAAGGTTACGATCGGCCAAGAGTCATAGCAGAAAGAAACGCGTCAAAACTGTCGATGCGTACGGGGAATCTCTTCAGTACAGTAATAAAGTGTTGAACAAGAGGTACGGCTACAAGACTCGCCATGTGGCAGCGCACGCTCCGATCCTAATTGACGTACCGATCATGATCGCAATGTCGAAAGCGTTTAAGAAGGAAATATACAAGACCAGCAGCAGCAGATTCCGCAGTCCCGATGATCTTCAGTTTGCATTTACTTACTATCACTACCTCATGGAGGAGACATTGCAAGTCAGCGTGGGTGAGATCTTTGATAAGTTCGACACCGACAAATCCAAGTACTTTTAGTCCCTAATTAATAAGAGACGCGCAATGCTCAATTTCATTCATTTGCAGGACTTGGTCTGATAGGGAAATCCGCACTATAATGACTAAAATTTACGATCTACCGTTGAGCTACGGAACCGTCGAACATTTCGAATGGATTTTATCTAATTGTACCAACGGCGATGAAGAACAGAACATACCAGTTCCTGTTGATGATAGATACTCTGACTCTAAATTGGTAAAATATAACTAACTTTTAGTATATTTTCTGACTCGAGTGTATTGGTTTTTAGTCGGTTATCACCCGAGATATGGTATTAAAATGTCACTTACTAGGAAAGCTGCTGAAGAAACAATTTGGCAGAAAACCAAAGTACAATTTCGAAGTTATCAACAACGCGCATTTCGGCGACGTCACCTTCAAAATGCTTAGCTCGAACGTCAGCGATGTAGCCGGTCAATTGGACGAAATTCGACGCAAACCCACGTAACTTAAATCCTTACACGAACCATCTTATATTCTTGTAATAATATTTGATTTGCAATTACAGCAAGTTCGTGTGTCTAAACGACAATTTAGATGCGAGCCGAGTGGACGACAACGAATTCGTGAAGACTGTCCTCCACGATTTCTATCAGTCGATACTTCCGATTCCCAGCGAGAGCGAACTTTCCGACTACCGCAATCGTTTCCAATACTTGGACGACTTCAACAACTGGAGATTCGAGCGAATTGCAATGCGGGCCACTGTGTTGGGCGTCTTCCTATCGCTGTGCTTCTACGCGATTTATTTGAAGATGCAACAGTCGAACATTGGTATAGTCAACGTAATCTAGGATTTTAAGTTCTCAGAACAATGGAGCAATCGGTAAATTATTACGAAGTTCTTTAACTCGATGTTGGATGTCTGTAGATTACTAATCTTATATATCTATTTATCACTATATTCAGTAGATTTCCAGAATTTAACAAAAATAGATACGTTAGACTCAATGCGTGAGCTTTAAGTAAATCATTAAATGAATGTATGCATGCATATAACCAGTATATTGGAATATAATTTAACTAAATCTACGTGTCAAAATAGTAATACGTTTATTAATATTATTATAATACAGGGTGTAGACACCAATAGAAGTCATATATGGGTGATATAAGATAATATAGGCAAATTACTAATAATTACGTGTACATATATTTTTTTTTATTTTATTAATTAATTTATACGCACATAGAATTTAATGTTTATTTTGTTCATATTTAATTTGGTTATTTAAGCCGTTTTCCGAATCTGATTCAAAGCAAATCAGAAAGTTCAAGATTCTAAAGCATAAGTGAATACTTTGCAGTTCAAGACAACAACAAGTCTTGAACCTTGTAATACTTTAGATAAGATGCCAACTATATTATATATATATATGTACTGAGAGCATGGGATGAATGAAAAAAACTGGTAATTTTAACAACAGCAAGACACATTGTCGACAACGGTGGTCTTTAAAAATTAACTATAACTATGTTATAAATTAGGGTAAGGAAATTTCATTTGTTGGGGTTCAACCCTAATGTAGTTTATAGAAGTTATTTTTGTGTTTGACATTATCCAATCTGCATCGCAGATCATAACGAAAGTACGGCAAAGGATTCGGCATCCCTTGCGTAGGGATGCAGACCTTCTTGTAGTTTGTAGCTAATTTTAAGGATTATTTATAAGATGTGTAGACTAGTCATATTTGTAAATCTAGTTCAGAGTTTCTCAACCGAAAACTGTATGTGTAAAACCTTTTTTCTTACGCGTATATTGTAAAGATTGAGAAACTCTGATAGTTATAATATAAGATATATTTATAATTAAATATAATCATTTTCAGTCAGTCTAATTCAAATACATCTGGAATATAATTGAAATGTAAGCAATTTTCGTTTATGTTTATCATGATGTTACGCTATAGCAGGAAATTATTTCTGGTATTCGTGACTTTGCTGGCTGGCATTGTTGAAAATTTCCAATTATATTGATGTCTATTTTTTGAAACGTTTTTTGATGGAGTTTTACGCTACTTCTTAATTAACAGGAATTTACAAGAACATCTAAATCTTTTTTGAATCTCTTTACTGTAATGTAAGTGTAAGTTAGTTTTAACAATGTGTAATTGACAAATCTTTGAAAAACTTGTCATTTCTATATGTCTAACAATGAATGTGTATTTAGGAAAAAAAACGTTAACCAATCGTATAGCTAAACTTTGGTATTATGAAGTTATGAAATTGGTGGATTTATTTATCTAACTTTATAAGGATAAGTCTTTAGCATATATATATATAATTAAATGTAATGTATTTAAGAATTTTCTGAATCAATAAACAACTTGAGTAAAATGTATATAAAGCTGAATGTTTGGGGAATCCAGCAAGTATAGATACATTCGTGTGCTCTTATCCATATTGCTGTAATACGCGTTCAAAGTTGAAAAATTGAAATGAAAACGTTCGAAAAAACAGTGTTTTCACATTTCATTGATTAACTCGAAAACTATAATAGATAGAATGAAACCAAAAGATGCATATGAAAGCTAAATGTTTGAGGAATGTAGCAAGTATTGATATATTTCTGTGGTTTTATACGTTTGACTGTAATTCACGTTCAAAGTTGATAAAATGCTCAAAAAAGCAGTGTTTTCACATTTCACTGATTTACCCGAAAACTGTAATACATAGAATGAATCCAAAAGTTGCATATGAAAGCTGAATGTTTGGGGAATCTAGCAAGTATTGATTTATTACTGTGGTTTTATCCGTTTG